AAATTGTTTGTGTATATTCCTCCATCTCTCCAAACCTTTGGTGAAGTCCTTCTGTGAATGATCATTTGGATGAATTCAAGGGGAAGGGCCAGGTGAACTCTGAACAGCAAAATGCACAAAACACCCAACTGCCATTTCTGAGGTGTCGGGGAGCAAGAGGAGGGCACTGAGCAGGCAGCACCACGAGGGAGTTGGGTGGACCACCCAAGCCCCCCTCCTCTTCAGCCTAACCCTGGTTGGCAAGAGCATGAGAAGAGCCATTCAAACTGTTAAACAATTAAGCAGTTACAAATAGCATATGGTCACTGATGACACTAGGGTCCTGCTCGGTTACAACATGGGCTTGGGTCTTTTTGATTAAACCTCTTTTGTAATGTGTTCAATAAAAAGCTGAATTCTTAAAAAAAAAACAATTAGTGATAACTGCTCTTTAGGACTAGAATAGAGTGTGGTAACAAAATAGCTCATTGTGGTGGAAAGGAAGACAGATTTAAAAAGTACGGTGATGAATTTAGCAAAAGTGGGAGCTCAGAATCAGAGGATGCTGAGAAACATATGACCTGTCTCACCCACCATTACATACCACCATCTCTTACATCAAATTTCTGGAGAGACGTGACAGGTGAACCCACATGGGGCCTTTCACTGTAAGTGAGGGACACAAAGGACAGGGATCTCGCCTGAATTCTGGATTATTGCACCTAAAAAATAACAGAATTAATAACTACTATTCAAAGAGGTCTTTAAAAGCACCAAGCTCTATACTGGATAATGTATATATATTATCTCACTTAAACCATATATCCACGAGGAGTAGGTTTTATTAGCCCCCATTTTACAGAAGAGAAAACTCATGTCTAAGGCTCAGTGAGGTCCAGTTAAACCGCCTGAGTTCACAAAGCCAAGCAAACATACAGCCGGCATTAGAACCACATCTCTCAGACTCCAGAGACCACTTATAACCAGATGCTAAAGGGTGCAGTATCACTAGTCATTGCATTGGCCAACTCACTCATTCATTCAGTAAATTTTTATTTTAGTGAGCACGTATGGTATTCCAGGCACTGGGAATGCAGCAGGGAGCAAAACCTCTGCTCCCATAGAACACAGGTAGGAGTTCTGAACTAAGATGCGCTAAGAAACATAGCTGCCAGGTGATATGAATACACACGCCCAGCCCACGTCCCTGGCTTCCCTGACAACGCAGCCAAGGGATGGGCAGCTGTAATTTAGTGACTTCTTCCTCCTTACTCTGAATTTACTGGAATAAAAACATGTGTATGTAAAAATGAAGGAAGCTTACAAAGTGATTTCCTACTCTAAGCTATCCTTCTTCCAAAAAGGGTGACTCAGGGCCCCAAATCCCCAGCTTTCAGTGCGCCACCCAACATTTGAGGCATGATGCCTGCCTGGCCCATGTCTCATTCAGAGATAGAGGTTAGCTGCACTTTCTTCATCTTCTGCAGCCAGCTCTGCGCTGAGCCCTGAGGGGTCTGGACAGAAGTTCATTCTGACCATCAGTCTCGGCTAGCCCACCCCCACCTCCCACCAACTTCCCGAGAAGAAAGGTGGATTTCTTCACGTCTTCCAACTAAACAAGTCTTCCAACTTGGCTGACAAAAGAATTTTTGTGGGGTGGGGGGTGGGGGGACAAGTCCTGACTTGCACAGTCCTGTCCTCTCCCTGCAGGGCTGGGATAAAATAAACTTGGAAGGAGAATGAAGTTGCTGAGGTCACTGAACCAAAGCTGATTCTGGCCGGGAGCCTGGGGAAATCCTCCCTGTGCCGAGTGGTCTGTTTTATCACCATCCTATCTTTTAAACTGGCTTTTCTTACTGTGGCTCAGCTCCCAGATTTGCTCAGAAAACCACCCTTTCCTCACTCAAAGGCTCTCAGTGCTGCTTTGTCTGGACATTATTAGGTGAGAGCAGTTTTCTCAAAGTCGGAGCAAGAGTATAGTTATCTTTGACTTAATCTGGGAAGAAGATTTTATTTTAAAATAACCCCTTTATCACCAACACTGTAACTGCCTCAACCACAGAACAAATTAGCACTGGAATTTGTATTGCTTGGTTCTCATCTCTCATTACTTGATGGCTGTCTGTGAGTCTTAACGCCTCCAGGAAGATTCTAGGTGCCTCTGATGAGAGTTCCATTGCTTGAATCCCTTGGGTCAGCGGTGCCCAGGGCTGTACCAGGCACTCGGGGTGCTCAGTATTTCTGCATTACCCGTCAGTCACTGCTAAATAGCACATCCAGCCCCAAAACAGGAAGAAAAAGGAATCTGCTGCTGCTGCATCTGAAAATATTTTTTTTGTAAACAATCTGCTCACTCACATCTCTAGAGCAGGATAAAGACCAGATGGTAGCCAGCAGACAGGTCTTATCTGGAGAGAAAAAGAGATTTAAGATGATAAACATCTCAGGACTTGATAAAACCCAGAGGCTCCTTCCTGGGCCGTCATCAATTTTTTTTTAAATCCAGTAACATGTGTCTTATCAGAGAGATTTATATTCAGTTGAAAGTTATTCTGAGCTGAGCAAAGGAGAAAATTCTTCAATTATAGTGGTTCAGAGTAAACCTTGGGTATATCAGTAGATGTCTCACTGAATTTCTCAGGGATAGTGATTTTCAGAGGGGACAGGATTAAAAAGAAACCTTTATGTGATATCAGACAGGAAACAGACCCTCCATGGGTCCCAGCAGACCAAGGAACTCAGTAACGTTTTATTTATGAAAATACATTGATTTTAAAAATTGATTTACCAAAGAAATACGGTATACTGAGAAGATGGTAGGCACTAGTCTTAAGTGTTTTACGACTCTTTAATCAGGTTCCTTTCTCTTGCTGCTTTGAGGCTGAGTGTGCTATTTAGCAGAGACAATAGGGTACGTGGAGAAATGGAGAAATACGAAGAAGCCTGGAGTGCCTGCCGCAGCCCTGGGGGGCTGAATCCGCGGTTTGGGTTGACTTCAGTTCCTAAGAGTTAACTTCAGCCCCCGGGCTCTGATCTGGCAGGCGCGTTCTCCGTGTCAGGCACGGCTCTTACCATCTTATCACATCTACCTTCACAACTGCCCTGCTGGTACCTCCTGTCTCTGGTTTCTGTGCCCTCCTGGCCTCCTGCTGTTCCCGAACCAGATGGAACTGCTCATCTTTGTTGCTGACGTTTCACTTCTTTCTGTTTGATAAAAAAAAAAAAGACAATTTCATGCAATTCACCCTAATGTTGCCTCCTTTTAAAAATTGAGGTATAGTTGATTTATAATATTGCATGTTTCAGGTGGACAACATAGTGATGCCAAATGTGTATAGATTATACTCCTTTTATAGTTATTATAAAATCTTGGCTGTATTCCCTGAGCTGTACAATACATCGTTGTAGCTTATTTATTTTATACATGGTAGTCTGTACCTCTT